CCCAAAAAAAAAAAAAAAGTATGTCAGTGGTCTAATAGAAGCCACTAGTGTGTTTCCTGAGACCATCATGGCTAAAGCAGTGTGACTGTGGAGGAAGAAAAAGGTTGGAGGTTGTATTTATTATACTTCAACCTGCTGCTTTGTGAAGTCCCTCCATAGGAAAGGATGCAAATCACAATTGGCATCCTTCAGACTTTCCTGTGCGGTACGATCTTAAAGCCACAGAAATGAACCCTTGAAGTAGTTACATGAAGTGCTAATGTTGATGAAGATGTTAGATCGTAGGTTTGGGGTGAAAAGCATGCACTGAAAGGGGATACAGTGAAGCTGACAAAAGGATGCTGGTGGAAGTGGTGTGCAATTTTTCTAGAACTTCTCAAATATTAATGGTCTCCTTTGTGCTTTTTACAAAACTGCCTGGTATTGAAGTGAGCCTTTTTTGTAAAACCAAGGCTAGATAGTGTGGAGCTGTGTATTAAAAAAAAAAAAAAAAAAAAAAATTAAAAATAGCATTTCCCACATTGAAGCTCAGTAATGATGCAACTAGTTGGTATGCAAGTAATCTGTAGTTGTGTTGTCTGTGAGTCCCAAGTCATCCATTTTGAAAATGTAATGGGTTTCGGTGGCTGTAAACTTAGCTCTTCTCCTGAATGAACTGGTGTATTTGAGTATTAGTCTGCTAGCGTAACTTCACTTTTTGTAGCACAAGTACTTGCCACTTGGGCCTTGGGAATCTTGAATGAAAGTGTTGCCTCTTGGGTTTCTGTGCACTTTTTCCAAACAGCGTTTGGAGCCAAGACTAACAAAACCCTCTCCTTCAGCCTCCACAAGGGCATTTCGATGACTAAGAGCATGTGGAGGGACTCTCAGCAGATCTGGGTGATGCTCTTTGTTTGTATTTAAGTCGAGATGTGATTTTTTTTTTTTTAACTGTCAGTTTATTGTAGGTTTGCATTAGTTTCAGATTTGTTTGAAGCAGGCTTTGCTGCAGTGCACAGGCTCTGCATTCGCAGAATGACCTCCGTCATGTCAAAGAAGTCCCCAGTTGATACCAGGATACCATGGGAGGTCGCAGATACAGAGTTAACAAACTCTGAATTTAAATCGCAAGCCGCTATTTGTAGCACGTTGCTTGTATTTTCTGTTTTCTTGAGAATATCATTTACAAAAATAATTTTTTAAATAATATAAAGGAACCTACACAGGCTAGAGAGCACGGTAGCAGCGCCCATTTTAAGAGAACTGCAGATCTTGTGCAGAGCAGAGATACGCCCTGCCTGTTTGGTGGTAAGAGGAAGATTTACTTTTAAAATGTGATAAATAGTACTGAAGAGTGAACGTAGACGTGATGTGGAAACAGAACAGGCCAGCGCAGGACTAGGGTGCAAACTCAGCAGCATTATCCCAGAATGAGAGCACTCTTCCTTTCAGCTTGCAAGCACATTCCTATATATGGATCCCTTAAAAATGTTGAGCAGTGTTCTGCAGGGAATTTAAGCCTTCTTAAAAGCAGTTTGTCTTAATCTTTTGTGGGCTTATTGGAAGAAATTCACTGCCCGCATGCTGAAGACTGCTGGTGTAAGCTACCTGCACCTAATGCTGACAGATTCAAGACTATTTACAGAACAGCAAGAAAAAAGAAACTCCCAACAACCCAAAATCCACAATTCTGAGAGAGCACGTGCACGTGCACTTCTCTAGGCCTGTTTTTTCTGGATTTCAGCATTCATTTGCTCCCAGGCAGCTCTGGAAGCTGCTGCATTGCCACGCAGCAGCAGGGTCGTGCCGCTGTTCCCCTTGTGAGGGGGTCTACTGCAGGGATGTCAGGGTTAGGACCAGATGATGACCCTTCATGGCTCACAGTAAAGTGATTTGTCCATCAGCTCACTTATTTGCGATCTAAGAAACTCTGTACAGGAATGCAAAATTAAAAGAGACTAAAGGAACCATATTTTTCCTTTAACACCTCCAGTATAGCAGAGTGGGCCCAATAAAACGCGTGGTAGCTTGCAGATAGGCACGTCTCATGGTAACACACCTACCGTAGCGGTGAGAAAGAGCAGGAGGGAGGTGTGGTGGCTTGTGGAGATGCAACATCTTGAACTGCTGCAGGTATTTGCTTTGTAAGGCCTCTGCTGCTTGTCGTGTTTTCCCCGCTGGCTGCTCTGCAGAGGGTGGTTGCGTGCAGCAGCTGGGGCAAGGGTGCAGTCCCCGCTGCTGGAGAGCTTTTAAGAACAGGTAAGACAAACATTTTGTTGGGGTGGTATAGGTATTTTTGATGTCAAGAGAGTAGAAAGCCTAGTTCTGCTGTGTTTTCCTTGTCTTTATGAAACCATGGAAGAGCTGCGTATTCAGGGAGTGTAAGCCGTTCTGCATGCCAAAACTGAGAGAGAGTTTTTGAGAGTACGTAGTATGTGCAGTTGACTGCTTTTACAGGGGAAGTGCATCAAAGCACTAAATGGAAAATTCACAAGCAGTATCATTTCTGGTATTTTTCAAATTACAGCGCTTAACTTATAACCTTAGTGTATTTTCTGCACTTTAAACTTTTTCTGTGAATACACGTGTATTTTATTTCTGATATTTTGCAATTGGATAAAAAACCCACTCCATCATTTTCTTATCCTGTGTTTACAGATCCTAATTTTGTACGTACTTTCCTTACCACATACCGCTCGTTTTGCAAGCCCCAGGAACTGCTGAGTTTACTGATTGAAAGGTAAGCAGTGGTCATCCTTTCTGAAGACATTGAAAGGCTTTGTGTTCGTTTACCTGCTCCTTTTCTGCTCGGGTTCTCAGTGCTGTGGCACATGTTTTAGCGAAGCTCATAAACCAGTAACTTTTAAAACGGGATACAGCACTGTGAGCTTTTAACGCAAGCTTCCTTTTCCCAGTTTGTGAAATTAGTTACCTGAATTAAGTATTAGCTAGAGCATTTGCTGTGCCTCAGCTGTGGGGTGGTAATGTTCTGAACTGCTTAACTTGATGTGAGAGCATATTTGAGTACACGTAAGTCTTGATGCAAATAAGAACGGAAATGTTCTAAGCAGTTTGAAAGGCACAGACTCTTAATGTAAACAGCATTTTAATACAGTGTGATAAAGCTGCTCTTAAGCTTTCTTCTAATCTTCACTTAATCAAGCCAGCAGGTAGTTAAAAACCTTATACCCTAGTCTAGACATCTTGTGATGACCAGAGAAGTAGCGAATTACCAGGGCGAGAGCTGGGTGTGTTAGCAGTACACAGCCAGGGGAGGAGGGAATTCCAGGCAAACTGGATGTTAGATGAGTGCTTGAGTTTCACCGCACTGAATTTTTTTTAAATGCAGTTGCTCTTCATGTCCTACGTAAAGGGTTTGTGTTTTATCTTAATTGCCATCTTTTTTTTTGGTACTTTTATTCATAGGTTTGAAATCCCAGAGCCTGAGCCTACTGAAGCAGACAGGCTGGCAATCGAGAAAGGAGAGCAGCCTATCAGCGCAGACCTTAAGCGATTTCGCAAGGAATATGTCCAGCCAGTACAACTCAGGTTTATTTGCTTTTAAACCTCTTCTGTTAAAGCCAGATTTTAGTTCACTGATTATATGGTGATCCTGGAGACAGTAATCTCTTTTGGAGACTGCTGTGCTGTCAAGTAGGGACTTATCACTGTCTGCAAGCAGCCTAATATCCCAAATCATGTTCTGATTAGTCATACTGCTGTTGTTGTTGCAACTGTACTTTGGTTCTGTGCCGCTCACAGCTGTGATCACCACCCACAAGAACGCTGTACGGCCGCTATGTAAAGCGGGTGTGGGTGAGAGATGTACAACTGAAAGTGTTTCTGACTGCGTTTTGAATGGATCCCTTGTTAACAGGCCCTATGAAGATAGTTTCTCTGTTTCCATTTTTTTCAGTCCTGCTGGTATTTTACTCCCTTTCCCAGCCCCACTGATGTATTTGTGTATTTGCACGCAGACAGGGAGACTCTTGTCCGTACTGCACATTGCAACGGGCTGCAGTGAATCTTCAAGGTCTTGCTGACCAAGCTAACTTGGGGAACAATTAAGCATTTCTAGCATGACTGAGGCTAATTGTTTCCCTGATAGGGGATCAAGTCAAGAGGAGACGCAGACCACAACCAATATTTGCTAGAACAACTTTTACTCGTTAAACTGTTTGTATTAGTAGCATCAGGATGTTACTATTAATGGCAGATAACTACGCGCACAGTACCCTCAGTTATTGCCTTGCCACACACAGTCATTCGTAGTTACCTGTTTGGAGCAACGGCAGTTTACTCAAAGTGAAGGGTCATGCTGACATGCCAGTACCTTCAAGGTAGGTGTTCAGAAAGTCACTTAGAAGTCCCATTTTCATCAGATACCTGTGTGCATACCTATGAAAAAAATATAAATATGTATGTAATACTGTAGTGTTCGTCGATATAGAGCTGCCGCCACCTTCTTGGGTGTAGTCCAAGTTACACAACCTCGCTGTAACCTTCATACTTGCGTGTGCTTGTGGCCTTGTAGAGATTTGTCAGGTCCTTGGTGTTCTCAGTTTATCAGCTCCCGTGAGTTCAGAAGGACCAATAGTCTCCAGAGTTATCAGTTCTTGGGAGAGCTTCACACGCTGCCTCTCTCAGTCCATACTTTTCCTGGTTTCAACTTGCTGTTTTCTGGTAACTCTTCCTGCATCCATCTGCACAGGTGCCTATAGAGCCCCTTCATAGAAACCCACACGGAATGGCCTTTTGTGACATAACTGGCTCAAGAGTTTAAATATCGTTGTACTGCTTTTGCTGCTGTTTTTTACAGCCTCCTCTGCTAGCTAGGCTGAAAGTTGCTTGGGAACCTCCTCACAGTGCTCCTTTGCGTGGTACAAAGGTGTCTTCCTGCAGCACTGCTGACTGCCATAGGCGAGCAGGACAAGGGGTTACCAATGAACTGGAACCCGTAGAAAAGCTTGAGGCAGCAATTAGCCATGTTTCTTGCTATTAATTTCCAAAACCAGTTTAGCACTTCTGCCTTCACATGTTGTGTCTGAGCTGTTCGAAACCTGTGCCCCATTCCAAAGTTTCCGGTGTCTTTGGGTTTGGTTTCTGGTTTCTTTCCTTGTTTGAGAGATTAGGATACCTCTTATCGTGACAGCTACTCTTTGCTGTCTAATTTATGCTGTGGTTGGTGAGCTGAGTCCCTTTACAGGTGCCTGCTCAATGGGAGATGTGGTTTAAAGCTGCTATTTAACACACACCCTTCTGTGGCTTATAGTTAATCTTTGAATTTAGGAGATACTACATGTTTCTAGTAGCTTGAAACTCTTAACTGTGTTACAGTTGAAAATAAGTGTCTGAATTTGAGCTGTGAGGTTGATATGCCCAGCATTTTGTAAATTCCAGTTTTGTTAACAGCATTGACCTCTACTTTAGAAAGAGATGAGATTTGGGAAGAAGGTGGAGAAATGTGAAGATACTCCTCCCTCTCTTCCTTCCTTCCTCCCTCCCGTCCTTCCCTCCCTCCCCAGCACTTAATCCCCATCTTGTAGAAAATGCTGTAAACATGCTGTGCAGCGCACAGGCGTGGAAACGGTGATGTCTTTGACTGGATTAAATGCATGTGAGGTCATGAGAAAGAGGAGGTGCTAAGCTGGAAATGCGATCAGCAGAACCTAGCAATCTTTCTTGCTTTTTCAGTGTTCCTACCATGGTATCTCAAAGGCAAAGACTGATTAGATAAGACCCTGTATTACTGTTATTGGGAACTTGTTTCAAAACATCACTCCTTTGACGGTTAGAAGCTGTCATTAATTTCCAGCCTGTTTGATCTGTTGATGATCTGTTTGGGTAGCCATTCTTTCATGGGATAAACCTTATTCTTTAAATTATACGCTATTTACTTCTCCATGTGTTCCCATAGAGCGCCCTTCATTTGACTAAGCTAAACCAGCCAACTTCTCTAGTGCTCTGACTCAGTGGACTGGCAGGTTACAGTCGGTTGTCTGCTCTGTTCCTCTCGGATGCTCTTGCCCCCGCTCTACGGGGCTGAGCCACCGCAAACAGCAGTCTGATACACGGTTAGCACTGGTTTACCGTAATAGCCTGAGCTGCGAAGAGTGGGGGAGCTCAGCAGCGCTCTGCCTTCAGCTGAGCCACCCCTGCAAAGGCGATGGGGCAGGAGCAACCTCGCTGTAACCATCTCCTCTGAGTCTGAGGCCGTGGGCTCTCCATGAAGCCCATCATCCTGTCCGACCTGCTGGATTGGCACAGGGAAAATCTGTTGTACTAGTTGACGTCGGAGATATTTGCTCTCTCTTCAGGTCAGGTGATATGCTGCACCCCGATAAATCAAAGTTTCGAGGTGCGAGCTCAACTTGTTTACCTGAAGAAGAGGCAAAACGGTTTTTTATTTGGATACATTGAAGAGTAGAAGGCAGAAGAGCAGTTGTAGTTCACTTTTAGAGGCTTGTTTATTAGTGGTCTGTTAAAGAAAGCGTAGAGAAAAATCAAGAGAAAGTTTAGTGTTATCCTTAAAGGTACTGGCAGGTTACAAGTACTGGATCTAGTACGGCCATTTGTGTAATTAAAGAGTTGTAGAAGTAGGGCAGTGTGCTTGCAACAACTTCTAAGCTGAAACTTGTGTATAGGAAAGAAACAATTCAAAATGTGTTTCTTACCAAATGGGAGATCCTAATTAGCTTTAGGTTTTTTTTTAAAAAAAAAAATCAGAAAATTAAATTAGAAATACCAGTTTTACCTGATTTTGGTAAGTTTTTTCTCTTCTGAAACCACCTCAACACTAGCATTCTTTATATAAGATTTTAAAAAAACTCACCAAACTATATGTATGCTAAGACTGGACAATTAGGTTTTAAATACCTGGGGACTTCTGTGGTCATTGGTGCCATGCTTAGTCTTTGTTCTGCCCCTTTGTCCATATGTATTTTGATAGTTGTCAACTACATGAATCTGTAACTTAGCTTTTGTAGAATTGTGTTTCATTCATGTTTACACGGGATGAGCTTTGGAAGTCCTTATAAACAAACATAATATTTTATTTTTTTTCTTTCCTTCCTCAGAATATTAAATGTTTTTCGTCACTGGGTAGAGCACCATTTTTACGATTTTGAAAGAGATCTGGAGTTACTAGAGAGATTGGAGACGTTTATTTCCAGTGTAAGAGGTACGGTAATTGGTGGTCGTCTTGTTGTTCCACGTTTTGGTACAACCCGCTGGTCTAATCCTGACAGGTTTCAGGCATGAGAATATCTTTACATGCATGAGTAATTTTAATGCCTTTAATTGAGCTGTTTATGAGACTCTCCTTTACATGAGCAAGCTTTGGGCTGGAGCCTAAACAGCTACCAAAAATTACTTCAAGCATTATGATATTTACCTTAAGTGTATTTACTTCTGGGCAGTAATGTTCATCCTTGCCTGACTCTGTAATTCAGACTGTCACCTTCCTGCTCCCTGTGTTGTATTCATAGAGAATTCCTTCCCTGTTGGTTATTGAGACTAGTTTTTTTCCCCCTCTTGTTCTTTTCCCATTTATTGAAAGTTCCAGCTGAAAATCATTATCCTTTTAGGAGAGGATACTTGACCCATTTGGTATTGCTCCCTCTGGAGCAAGCAGATTTTTTTGGCAGGCTATGTGGAGGGCAACAGTGTTGGCATGTCAACTTTAATCATTATCCTGGCCATTCTAGACTTTACTTTTCAGATTGCACGACCTTACATTGGGTAATATAATTCTGAGACAAACTTAGAGAACGGTAGTTTATCTTTTGCAGAGGTCTCCATGCTAACCGTTGCTGACCAGAGAGGAATAATTCAGTTTTGGTTAGTCTCTTAGAAGGTATTTGTCTTGAACTGCTGAAGGTACTTCCCGTCTTGTCCACTATTTTGTGTACTGTAAATGTTGGACTGATACTGTAAACATCTATTTCTATCGTCTTTTTGTTCTGCAGTGCACTAGTACAGCATGTTGCAAAGATCTCACTTGAAGCTTGTTGTTTACTTTTTTTAGTTCCTCCCCTCTAAGTAAGTGAAGCCAGCAGTCAAAGTGGAGATGGTTGCAGCTGAGGGGAAAAAGTAAAATACAACGTATACAGGGTGACTTTTTTCCACTCAAAAACTTGTCAGTAAATGTGGTTAAACACAACTGGGCACCCAAGAATTCGTTCACATGTGTCTGTATTTGCCAACCGATACAGGTGCAAGAACCCCTAAGAAAAAAAAATAGGGAACTACAAACCTAATTAATTTCCGTGCAGAAATGCAGAATTTTGCGCGCATGTACAAATTTTGGGGGGGATTGGTTTTATTAAATTATCAAAAGTCAGTTAAGATGGTATTAAAAAAGGGGGGGGGGGTATCGTTTCTGTTTTGCAGGAAAATCCATGAAGAAGTGGGTGGAATCAATTGCTAAAATCATCAAGAGAAAGAAAGCTCAAGCAAATGGAATTAGTCACAACATCACCTTTGAGAGCCCACCTCCCCCCATTGAGTGGCACATTTGGCGTGTTGGGCACAGCGAAACGCTGGACCTCATGACCCTGCATCCTATAGAAATTGCTCGACAGCTGACGCTTCTTGAGTCTGACCTTTATAGGTAGGGATTGAACTAATACGTGTGTCTCATTATTTGAGCAAGAAAGAGTCATAATTCATAGAATCAAGTCAAAAGTATGTCCCCTTGACCTTCAGAGTTTACGGAAAGAGGTTTTCTTGCCATCTGTTTGATATCAAAATATGCAAGGCAAAAAAAAAAGGGTTTTCTATCTCCGTATCAGGCTCTGGCAACATAAATAAGTATAGGAAGGACACTGAAATATTGCAAGTAGATAATACTAACTTGTATTGTCTCCTTGTTAAAAGCAAACTTAGTGTTATACTAATAAGAAATGCTTGTTGCATCATAAAAAGAGAACACGATTGTCTCTGCTCCTTTCCTTTATAGCTGCACAGCAAAGGCCCGGGTGTTACACGCATATAACCATAGCGCTGGTACGCCAAGGGCCTCTGATCTCATTCTGAAGAGATTTTTTTTGGTCTGGTACCATAAGTACTCTACTGTGTCCTAGCTCTGTTGTTACCTGTGATAAATAGAGCTAGCCTTGATGCGAGAGCTAGGTTTTGCTGGGTAGAAGTTCTTTAAGGTCTTGCAAAACTCAAAAGATGAAGCATCGTTTCCTGCTTCGGTGACAGCAGGCTTTCTATTGAAATAGGCCACTTTTCCAGCAGGTTGCTCGAAGAACTTCACCTTCCTATTTTAAAAAAACATTGTGACTGTCTTTGAGATGGTTTCTTATGCTTTCAGGAAATTAAACTTACTCCTTTGCAATTTTCTTATCTGAAAATGCTTATTCAAAAATGCCAATTTAATTAAGATAAAAATGTGTTTCCTTCTGTAGTCAAATACTCGTCAAAAAGTTATGTTAAGTAACTTTTGCAGTAGATTAGATTGGATTACATTTGTGAAATATCAAGTTGTGATTAAGGGAAGAAATAATCTTTTAATGCAAGTACAGAACATACAATTATTATTTATAGTGAGCATTCTTCTGCATCTTGCTTTGTCATTATCAGGGCCGTACAGCCTTCTGAGCTCGTTGGTAGTGTTTGGACTAAAGAAGATAAGGAAATTAACTCCCCAAATCTATTGAAAATGATTCGTCATACTACAAATCTTACTCTTTGGTTTGAAAAGTAAGTACAGGTGGCGATAGTGTAGTGGCGTTAACTCGTACTGAAATTCGGAGAGAAACATTTTTCTGCTCTTTGAGTTCTGTTGCCTTGACTCTTGACATGGCTGTAGGGTATTACAGTAATTTCAGGTTTTAGTTCAAGGGTGCATGCCATGCCAATTGCATATGCTCCCTCCTCCTGAGACTAGAAGATTTTTTTTCCAGTTGTGTCCACATGGTCACCATGGGTCCTACTTACATTTCTACAATATGTCAAAAGGAGTTGCAGGCAGTGCAGGACTCGGCACCGCTTTTCTACATCTCTGATGAAAGCACTGTTGTGTCTGTCCCCTTCTCTTGGTCTCTCTCCCTTCTCATGTGAGGTGATTAAGTACTTCTGAGGAAGCGGCCAATGCTGCAGTGAGAAGGGCGTAGCAGTTTGTATGTGTATACCTAACCTAGCGAGTTTAAAATGCCACTGTAGATAGTGGCATGAGTCTCGCCCTACTTATCCTGGATCTTGATTGGGGTTTGCTTTATTATTTTACAGGATATGCCAAACCCTTTCTTGGCTTTCCAACTTGAACATATGTAAGATGTGATTACATAAATTTGTACTTGAGATTCTTGAGACAGAGCCAAAATGTGCATATTGGATGTACTGTACAGTTTTGCTCGGAAATTTTTGATTTAGTAGCTAGCAAAATGTCAGGTTTTATTTATCAGTGTTTCTCAAATTATGTCTTTTGATTAGATGCATCGTGGAAACCGAGAACTTTGAAGAGCGAGTGGCTGTGCTGAGTAGGATTATAGAAATCCTGCAGGTTTTTCAAGACCTCAATAATTTCAACGGTGTTTTGGAGATTGTCAGTGCAGTGAACTCTGTGTCAGTGTACAGACTAGATCACACGTTTGAGGTAAGTTTTGGGCGTTGCTCTTGGGGGAAGAAAAAAAAAAAAACAACAACTAACCAGAATCCAGAAGTGTATCACACATACGTCTGAAGTGAAATCTATAGTATCCATATCGCACTTGTTTTCATGGAAGAAAACAAGTGTGAAATGTTCAAAGTTATTTATGAGAAAACATACAAGATGGGCTGGTTGTCTCAAAGGGTTTGCAATGGGAAGTGGAGCTTTTCAGCAGATGTTTTCTCACGTGTATTCAGCCCGAAAAGGGGAAATGGCGTGGCCATTCAATTGTTGTTCGTTAACCTATCTGAAATGAACCTGTTGCTTCAGTCCAGCGTTTTATCGGTATGAAAGAGGAGGATCCCAGGGCTGAGAACCTTGGACTGGAACACTTTAACAGCAGCATTTCCTACCAAGACGCGGGGGTAGAAGGGCATGGGGAGGGGATAGCTAAAACTCGGATTTCAGTTGATCCCAAGAATTCTCTTGGATGAGAGAGACTCAGAAAATTCAGAGTGTCAGGGGCAGAAAAAAATAGCTGCTGAAACGGTTTAGATGGACAGTAGGAAGAGAGGCTACTACACAAGTAGTGATTCCGTGTTTCACTTGCCAAGGAAAAGAAATGCCTAGGATTTGGCACCAAAGCCCCCCTTGACTCAGAAGAAGAAGCATTAATAAAATGTTTTGAGTTTTGTATGGCTTTGATAGGCAGTATGAGGCCTTTAAGATAAATGCAAAATTAAATGTTTAATTTTTACTAAGTTTAAAGACCAGGATTATGCTTGTAAGTTGATAGACAAAATAATAGCCTGTTTACAGTAGCCTCATGATTCACATGACTAAATCTTTCAGATCTGAATTTCAGTTCCTAAGTTTTGCTAAGAGTGCTAGGGAATTGCCTTGTTTTTGCTAACCATACTGTTGAGAAGATTTGCATCCCTATTTTTTTTTTTTTCTTTGACAAATTAGGCACTACAGGAAAGAAAAAAAAGAGTTTTGGATGAAGCAGTGGAATTAAGTCAAGATCATTTTAAAAAGTATCTAGCTAAGCTCAAGTCAATCAATCCACCCTGCGTGCCTTTCTTTGGTAAGTAACACCAAGGCAGGCTAACACCATGTGTATTGTCAGGCTTGACTTTGATGCAGATGTGTTACTATTGCTTAAAGCGTTCAGGGTTGTGTTTAGCTCTAAAAAAATCTGTAATATAATGTGTGACTTTTGACTTCCTAGGCTTGTAATGCTTTTAGGCTTCATAGAATGGTTTGGGTTGGAAGGGACCTTAAAGATCATCTCATTCCAACCTCCCTGCCTTGGGCAGGGGTGCTTCCCACTAGACCAGGTGAAAGACTTAGTGTCTTCTGTATAAAATCTATTTTTCTAGTTTAGTATACAGATTACTGGTATTATAGTGGTATGAATATTACCTCACCTTGTTTGACACTGCCTCCACCTTGGTGATCTGTTTATGGCGATGACCCGAAGATGGTTTTTTTTCTAAACTCAGGATCTCCTGTCAAGGAGATATAAAGCATCTTATTCCAATAACATATTGTTTCCTGTGTAAAAGGCAGACCTGATTCATTCTTGCCAGCTAATAAACTGTTGGAGCGTTAAAGGGAATGGTCTGCCTATGCTCAGACTCTTATATCATTCATTAGAACAAATGAAATCAGCTCCTGGAATGAAAATGAAATTAAAAAAATGCTTCTCTTTTTATCAGGAATATACCTAACAAATATTTTGAAGACAGAAGAAGGGAATCCTGACTTCCTTAAAAGACAAGGGAAAGAATTAATTAACTTCAGTAAGAGGAGGAAAGTGGCTGAAATTACAGGAGAAATTCAGCAGTATCAAAACCAGCCTTACTGCTTGCGGATAGAGCCAGAAATTCGGGTAATCAAACATTGAATGTCTGTTTTGGGGATAGGAGAGGGAAAAGAATGTACGCAACAAAAAATTGCCAAATAATCTTCTAGTACTAGACTTAATCTTGCCTGAACAGTGACCATCAGAAGAGGGGGGAACAGTGGCTGGTAGCAACAAAGTGCCACTGCAGAGGACTAGCCAGAAGTGGGGATTTGCTTCCTTGGATTCCATGTTCTGGGTCTTGTGCATCCCCTTATTGTTCTGCAGCCTGGTATCAGAGGGATTTTTTAGCAACATAACAGAATGAATAAGACATACTGACTAAACAGCAGAACTTTTTAGAGAAAAATCGGTTGCTTTTAACCTAAAATGCTCTGTACGTGCCTAGTGCATTTAGTCCTTCAGACATTCTGTAATAACACCTCGGACCAAAGTCTGCGGACCCCACTGGCAGTCAGAGGGCGTGTAGTTCAGCACAAATACCAACGGCTGTTCAGCGCGGCAGAAGCTGAGCAAATGTGGGCACGCACCAGCGTCAGCCCGCATTATCTTTAGAAATGGAGGATGCTCGAGTGGTTACGTACCTAAGACAAAGATTAGTGAATCCCAGATAATTTAAAGGAAGATCCTGAAAGAACAATGAGCCAGGTAAAGGTAGGTGGGTGGTTTTTATATGGAGGTAATAATGATGGAAAAGAATAGTTCTAAGTACCCAGCCATGCTTCCTGAGTGCACGGTAATTGTAGCCTTTCTGAAAAACAGCAGTGTGGACAGCTCTCAATCTCAGCTCGTGAACAGCAGCAGGTGGGAAGCAACAAAGAAGTTGGTTACATGAAGAATTAAATGGGCGGTAATACTGCTGCTTAAAATGGTATTTGCATTATGTGTTTAATTGCTGTGGACACGTCTGGGAAAGGTTTAGGAGATTTACGGTATTCTTACGCCAAGAAGTACATTAAGTTCAAGGGATGGCAGTATTTGTGCTGAAAAAAAAGAACGAATGGAAAATGCTGTAGCTCACCAGCGACTCCGGCTGCAGCAGGAGCAGCTGATGCAGGACTGTCGGGCGTTGAGGCAGCTTCGTCCCGCGCCATGCCCTTGGTGCCAGTCCTGTCCCAGCCGTGCCTTCCCTCCAGTCCTTGTGCCCTCGCGCCGTGCGCTGTCCCTGCCTCTGACCTTCCTGCTTTTGTCCTCTGTCCCTTCCTGGTCTTTGTAGTTAACCGATAAAACACCTCTAGGAAATGGCACTAGCAGAACTTTTGCTTTCACTACTGTATCATCTGTATTCTGCTCCCTCCCAGGTCTGTGACCTTGGCTTCTTAAGGCAAGCGTATGCTGTTGCGCGGCCTTCAGCGCTGCTGTGCGGTGCATGATTCAGTAGTCAAAAGTATCAGCAAACAATTCACAGAAGACTTCATTTACCGTGTCCAGTTACTTGAAGCAAGGTCATCTTTCATGTCGGGAAACTTACGGTGCCCTTGATTATTTCTTGCATTGGATTGTTTTGTATTTATTTCAGGGAATGTTTTACTCTCTTTTTCCTGGAAATAAGCTTCAGAATAGTGAAAAGCTAGATTTTTTTTTTTTTTAAATCAGTGAATTACAAGCATGTCAATGAAATTCTGTGTATGTGCTTAGTTTTTAAATATTATCGATGCTTGTTTCATTTAGAAATTCTTTGAAAATCTCAATCCTATGGGGAAGATACCAGAAAAAGAGTTTACAGATTATCTGTTCAACAAGTCATTAGAAATTGAACCTCGAAACTGCAAGCAACCACCTAGATTTGTAAGTCTCGTCCTGCAAATTAAATAGCTAAAATCCACTAGTCGCTATGAAAAAAAGCATAAGTAGTTAACTCAATAAGCCATATATATTTTCCTCAGAATTCTGTATCATGAGATGATTTTAAAATATTTTTATTTCAGGCATCTGCTGCTACTAAAACATACCACCTTTGGCTTATTTTAGAATGAACATTTTTTTTTTTCCCCCAAAACCTAAAATACTACAGTTTAAATTTGGGTTTCTTAGCATATAGTCATTTGATAGAATATGTAATAACATTTAACATTTTTTATTTCACAGTATCAAAAGTCTTGTAAAATATTAATTGAAATATGGATCCGATACATAATTAGTGTGTTAAGTTTTCTTTAAGTAGAAGTTAATTTCTGTTTTTCTGTTGTCTAAATGTTTTTCATTGTTGCAAAAATTGAAGTATACTACGGAATTGATAAGGTGCAACCTTCTTGCTGATCCAAATAGAGTTCAATTTAAAGGAGTAGCAATCTTGTTTTTTAAGAAAATAGCTACTGGAGCCCAGAGCTCTTTTTTAAGCAGAAAGGTTGCTCTCTAGAACGCTTGTAATTGTACTTCTGAGTAGCTGGAGACATCTCTAATTTTGGGGAGAGCTATAAATCATTTTAGCAATCTCCTGTTAGAGGAATGAGTAAGATGATATTATGAATCTGGCAAGAAAAAGACAGAAATTACTGTTGCAAAAACACTGCTTGCAGTAATTTCTTTAAAATATTTTCTAAAACTAGATAGCCATGCTGCCAGCCGCAGTCATCTGGGCATGAATTCTTTACAGTTCATGTTTTCCAAACTAGACGTTCTTATTGGAATTTCAGGAAAGTCCAGTTCTGGGTACTGTAATGTGGTGGAGTCCTGCATACCACCGTAGGAGGGGAACGTAATTCATCTTCAAAGAATCGCCTTTGATCCGTGCTGTGTTACACCTGGGTCTAATGAGGCTTGTTTCATTCACACCAGTGACGTGTGTGTACGAATTCCGTACTGACCAACCCAGAGGACGTAGACAACGTGCGTCTGAGTGTGCCCTTGATCTTGGACGTGTGTAGGGGCCTGGTGACCTTCTGTGGTAGAAGCGCAAAGCATGTCTTACGGTGCTGTTACGAGGCTCTTCTGCAGGCCTATGGGGGCACCTGAAATAACTCTCCCCCAAGGTTGTGACTTGCTCTTCCCTGTGTTTTGTCCTGACTGGCATGCATCTGAAACTTGACTCTGTTCTTCAGAGCTGTGGGGGGAAAAAGATTTGTTAAGCTGCATCCATAACTTGTCAGGAAACTCCTGCTGTATAGATAACAACAGACTGTACCTCAAGTCAATTGTAGAAAGGCTGTAAGACCGTTTAATGTGTATGCGATGAGTATTTTTTTTTTAAACTATCTTACAGAGACTTGGCAATTTTGCTATCTGAAATGTTAGCAGTACTAACCAGCTTTACTTTCTCCAGCCTAGAAAAACAACATACCCCCTGAAATCGCCCGGGATAAGGCCCAATACTGGCAGACACGGCTCCACCTCTGGCACCTTGAGAAGTCATCCACTGCCACTTGAAAAGGAACCGAGTAAGATAAGTTTCAGTAGAATCACCGAGGCAGAGCATGAATCAACGGTATCAGCACCAACTTCTCCAAACACACCGTCTACGCCGCCAGTGTCTGCTTCTTCAGAGTTCAGTGTCTTTTTAGACATCGATCTCAACAGTTCTTACGGTAAATGTGCAGTATGTTTTTAATAATTGTTGTTACTGTCCCTCAGGCTTCCAAAATGTATTGGTGTGTATGCCAGCCTTTTTAGAAAAAGACTTGCAAAATTTAGTTGTGGACTATGAATTTCTTGCGTCAGTGGTACGTGTACTGCGGTTTGGAAATCCATGCTGTAAGTAGTTAAGTAACAAGTGACCCTTCCAGTCTTTTTGCCTACTGGAGCTGAGGGAGATGTCCCCACGAGGCACGACTGCGCAGGGGCTGTGCCTGCTTTACCACGTACGACGCATCTGTAGAGAGAAAAGGTGCTGCGGACCTGGCATCCACAGCGGCGTGTGTTTCAGGAGTGGTCCCGTGGACTGAGCACACGCTAGTGATTCTGCTTTAATTTCCTTTGGAGGGAATCCAGTCTGTGTGTTTTGAGACGTGAACCGAAGTGCCAGAAGTGGGGATGGTCAGGGCGCTCGCTCCAAAACGCAACCTTGATTAAAAAAAAAACAAACACTCTTAGTTAGGATGCACTGATAACGCTCCCCAAGCTTTGCTCGTAGCTGCGAGCAGCTCCTTAGTATTGAAAGCAGTGCGTGACAGGCCTTGGCTCTGCTCTGAAGGGGCTGCAGGCTTGGCAGGTGGGTCAAGCCTGGTAGGGGGCAAAAGTGACAATTTTTGTATGGCATATGCTGAGGACATTTGGGCTGCAGTGCAGGGGAAGCGAACAACCACCTGGTAGTGTCAGAACAGAGTAGAATAATGAAGTTTAATTGCCAGCATAACTTAAAATCTCTCGTTCGGGAATGTTTTACACAGGAAAGTTTAATTCATGTTAGCAGTAGATAAACTTGGAGATGATGGTGATCCCTGAGGTCGTTCACTAGCATACGTTATGTGCTGTAGTGCTATTATTCTGTCTGGAAAGTGTTTAATCCGTTTTTCATTTAACAGGTAACAATAGCATCTTCGCTCCTGTCAGTTTGCCACAATCAAGTGAGTACCGTAACTCTACTCAATGTTTCATGTAACTCTGCTTTTTCTGGTTTCAGGAGGGGTGAATAGGAATTACAGTCTGAAATCTGGGATGAAAACGTGGGCTGCATTCATTAGCATTCTGAGAGGATTTTTTTTGTACATGTTTTCCATCAAATGTCCAGTAAAGAAGTCTGTAAAAGTCTAAAACCTGTCTGGTTTGGGTTTGTTTTGTTTTTTTCCCCAGGCTCTAGCATGATTTTGCTTCTATTTTTGAATGTCCTTGATGATTATTTTGTTTGACTAATGCTGCAAATGAAGCAACCTGATAATTTCGTATTACCACTTAGTGAAAATAATTGTTCTATTGCTGGGAAGGAAGAGGTGCTTTTTGTACCACAGCTGTGAGGGATAACCTGTATTCATCTGTGTTTTCAGCTTCTCTTTTTACTCCCTCATTACACAGGCACGTATACTTTTTCATAATATGATTAAAATTTGAAACTGGAGAGCACAGGTGCCTAATCCGTTGATACAGAGCTCTGTGCACTTCTAAGAGAAAAAGCAAAGGTGTGACAAAAGTCACAAATACAGGTTGGGGGGTTGTTTCATTTCTTAACTTTGAGGATTGCCGCCCCTTTTTTTCCTAAAAAGGAAGGACTAGAAATGTCCTAAAATGCTGTGAGAGTTCATGGCATCTGTTCTGGTCAGTGTGTGGTTCTCCTGCTTTAGAAGTGTTGTAGACCTGTTAACAAAGCCTCTCAATTTCCGAATTTGAGCGTGTACCTATATGGCTGAGAGAGCAAACTTCCACTCCAAAGTATAATTGAGGCACGCGGGCAAACGGCAGGCGCTGCGGTAAAGAGGGGGTAAATTCTGCAATATAGAGAGGATTGCGGAGAAGGTTATTTAAGTGCTCACTAGGAGTTCACTTTCTTTATTTTTCTGTCCTTTAGCATTGCCTGTTAACTGTTGATGCATGTCTTTGATACTGGAAATAGGAGACCGCTTTGTGAGGAGTCTTTGATGAAAGAAATGAATGAGAATTTCATACAACTGAAGTTAACGGTTCATGTTGCTGTGGAGCACAAAGATCTGCTTATTTTGAGTTCCTTCTAGTTTGGCTTAATATTCTAGCATATGTTGCTCAGATATTGCGCAAGCAGTAAAATACCTGCTTTTCCCTCTCCAGAGACTTTCTTCAGCTCGTGGGGTAGCTTTCCTAAACTAAGTGATGAGCCTCAAAACCCTCCTCCACTTCCTCCACGAAAAAAGATGGATCAGGATGCTTCTAATGCTAAGGTATTTCTGTCCTGCTATTCAATAAATAACTTCGATAATAAATCAGGGAGCATCTAGCCAAGCAGGACTTTGTTAGCCTAAAATACTTTCAAATGCAGTGCTCCAGTTGCCCTTTTTAAGTTTCAGGTTCCCGGTGTCCAAACTCTGCTAGCTACTTTAGGAACATAGTGGTCATATTTGGATCAAAGTTATGGCTTTGCCAGTATCTTTTTTCTGACAGATGTCAAGAGAATTCTGCATCTGTCAGAAGCTACGCTCTTTACCTAAACATAGAATCATAGAATGATTTAGGTTGGAAAAGACCTTTAAGATCATCCAGTCCAACCATTAACTTAACACTACCAAGTCCACCACTAAACCAATTAAGGGGAGAGAAATAATTAATTTGAGGTTTCCTGGCTTGGTGGCTGGAGTATTTTTAATGAAAGTAAAAACTAGGAATCATTAAGGTTGGAAAGGACCTCTAATATCGTCCGTCCAACCATCAACCCAACACCCCCATGCCCACTAAACCACGTCCCCAAGTGCCACCTCTGCCTGTTTTTTGAACCCCTCCAGGGATGGGGACTCCCCTACCTCCCTGGGCAGCCTGGTCCAATGCTTGACCACTCTTTCAGTAGAGAAATTTTTCCTAATAGCCAATCTAAACCTCCTCTGACATCTAAATTTCTTACAACGTCTTTTTCTCTGTAATGTTGTAGGGAAGTTTGAAGTTGGATGACGATCCTCCTGCGATTCCACCTCGGCAGCCGCCGCCTCCAAAGATACAGCCCCGTGCTCCTGCTTACACTAACCCCTTTGAC